GATCATCATGTGGTGTCTCGGCACGATGAACTGTCGCAACGGTGCATACTCAAGGAGAACACTTATACCTTGAAATTTTGTGAGGAATCATCTTATAATGCTACCGCCGTAGTAAGCAAAATAAGATGCATAAAAGACAAACATCACATGCAATCAAAATATGTGACATGATATGGCCATCATCATCTTGTGACTTTGATCTCCATCGCCAAAGCACCGTCATGATCTCCATCGTAACCGGCTTGACACCTTGATCTCCATCATAGCATCTGGTCATCTCACCAACTATTGCTTCTACAACTATCGCTAACACATAGTGATAAAGTAAAGCAATTACATGGCGATTGCATTTCATACAATAAAGCGACAACCGAAAGGCTCCTGCCAGTTGCCGATAACTTTTACAAACATGATCATCTCATACAACAATGTATATCACATCATGTCTTGACCATATCACATCACAACATGCCCTGCAAAAACAAGTTAGACGTCCTCTACTTTGTTGTTACAAGTTTTACGTGGCTGCTACGGGCTTCTAGTAAGAACTGTTCTTACCTACGCATCAAAACCACAACGATGTTTCGTCAAGTTTGTTGTTTTAACCTTCAATAAGGACCGGCCGCAGTCAAATTTGATTCAACTAAAGTTAGAGAAACAAATACCCACGAGCCACCTTTATGCAAAAAAAAGTTGCATGTCTGTCGGTGGAACCGGTCTCATGAACGTGGTCATGTAAGGTTGGTCTGGGCCGCTTCATCCAACAATACCTCCGAATCAGAATAAGATGTTGGTGGTAAGCATTATGACTATGATTGCCCACAACTCTTTGTGTTCTACTCGTGGATATCATCTACCATAGACCTGGCTCGGATGCCACTGTTGGGAACCTAGCATGCAATTTCAAAAAAATTCCTACGATCACACAAGATCTATCTAAGAGATGCATAGCAATGAGAGGGGGAGAGTGTGTCCACGTACCCTCGTAGACCGAAAGCGGAAGCATTAGTTTAACGCGGTTGATGTAGTCGAACGTCTTATCGATTCAACCGATCAAGTACCAAACGTACGGCACCTCCGAGTTCTGCACACGTTCAACTCGATAACGTCTCTCGAACTCTTGATCCAGCAAAGTGTCGAGGGAGAGTTTTGTCAGCACAATGGCGTGATGATGGTGAAGTGATCTGCGCAGGGCTTCGCCTAAGCACTACAACAATATGACCGGAGGAGTAAACGGTGGAGGGGGCACCGCACATGGCTAAGAACAATTGATGTGTCCTAGAGGTGCCCCCCGCCCCCGTATATAAAGGAGATAGAGGGGAGGAGGCCGGCCTAGGGGGCGTGCCAAGTGGGGGAAACCCACTTGGACTCCTAGTCCTATTCGCCCCCCCCCCTTCCTTCTATCGGAGGGGGCAAGGGAGGAGGAGAGGGAGAGGGAGAAGGAAAGGGAGGCCGCACCCCCTCCCCTTGTCCAATTCGGACTCCCCATGGGGAGCGCCACCCCCTTGTGGGGTGCCTTGCCTCTCCCCTATGGCCCATGTGGCCTGTTACTTCCCCTGAGTGGGTTCCGGTAAGCCCCCGGTACTCTGATAAATACCCGAAACACTCCGGAACCATTCCAATGTCCGAATACTATCGTCCAATATATCAATCTTTAACTCTCGACCATTTCAAGACTCCTCGTCATGTCCGTGATGTCATCCGGGACTCCAAACAATCTTTGATCACCAAAACACATAACTGATAATACAAATCGTCTTCGAATGTTAAGCGTGCGGACCCTACAGGTTCGAGAACTATGTAGACATGACTGAGACACATCTTCGGTCAATAACCAACAGCGGAACCTGGATGCTCATATTGGTTCCTACATATTCTATGAAGATCAATATCGGCCAAACCGCAATGACAACATACGTCATTCCCTTTGTCATCGGTATGTTAGTTGCCCGAGATTCGATCATCGGTATCTTCATACCTATTTCAATCTCGTTACCGGCAAGTCTCTTTACTCGTTCCGTAATGCATCATCCCGTAACTAACTCATTAGTCACATTGCTTGCACGGTTTATCATGATGTGCATTACCGAGAGGGCCCGGAGATACCTCTCCGATACTCGGAGTGACAAATCCTAATCTCGATCTATGCCAACCCAACAAACACCTTCGGAGATACCTGTAGAACATCTTTATAATCACCCGGTTACGTTGTGACGTTTGATAGCACACAAGGTATTCCTCCGGTATCCGGGAGTTGCATAATCTCATAGTCAAAGGAATATGTATAAGTCATGAAGAAAGCAATAGCAATAAAACTTAACAATCATTATGCTAAGCTAACAGATGGGTCTTGTCCATCACATCATTCTTCTAATGATGTGATCCCGTTCATCAAATGACAACACATGTCTATGGTTAGGAAACTTAACCATCTTTGATTAACGAGCTAGTCTAGTCGAGGCTTACTAGGGACACTTTGTTTTGTCTATGTATTCACACATGTATCAATTCTCCGGTTAATACAATTATAGCATGAATAATAACATTTATCATGATATAAGAAAATATAAATAACAACTTTATTATTGCCTCTAGGGCATATCTCCTTCAGTCTTCACCTTAGACCGCTCCACCGCAATGTGGAGGGCCATCTCCTCCTCGTAGTCGAGCTCCGAGCCAGAGTCGCTGCCGGAGCTGCTCATGGTGGTGGATGAGATCGGAACCGGATAGGGAAAGGAGTGGACGGACAGAGCGAGAGAGGGAGAGAGTGAGCTAGGGTTTAAGCTCGCCTCCCGAATTGAGGTTTTTTGTGGGGTCCGTGGTGGGTCGGGCCTGTCAGGCGGACGTGCCTGGACGTGCCCAGGCCGCCCTATATCCGTTCTATATTTAGGCTGGATATGAGAGATGCCGGTCGGTCCGGGCATTTGTCCGCAATTTGAGAAGTCCGGTTGGGTCTTTTTTTTCTGACCGGTCACTGACCGAAGCGTTTGAGACGGGTATAAGAGACCCGGCTGTAGATGTTGTGACACATTACATTTTTCTATAGTATTACATATTCCTTTGCACTCCGTGTGCCTGTTTTGTACGTAACCTATGTTTGCGCCCTCATGTACTTTAAGAAAAAGTCTAGTGTTTCCGTGTCCATGTACTTACGATCATGTCATCTCTGTGTACGCAAGCCCAATTTATGCACGACCTGACAATTTCATCAGGACGTAGTATTCCACTAGTGCTGCGGCTCTGCCAGGGTGAGCACACTGCAGACGCATGCATGGTTGGAAGCATATTAGCCACACTACCTGCGACGATTCCTCGATGTTTTTTTTAAAACAGTAGAAACACATGCATTGCCGGAAATTTTGAAATAAATTTAGAATAAATATGAGCATCAGGATTTGAGCATTGATGGACTGCGAATATCACTGTCCTCATAACCGTTCAACCACAGTTTGGTTCACAATTCCTCGATTCGGTGTTGGGAGGTGTTCAGGGAGTAGGAGTATTGAGTGTTCCACACAACTCTTTAATTTTTAGCCAGAAACTTGATTTTAAACACCTCAAAAATTTCTGAAAAAAGTACATACACATATAGATGTGCATATAATTTTTCATATGTGGTGCACATGAAAAAAAAAATAAGTGCATAAAAACGGGCCGTTCTTTTACTATTTTTGGGCCAGAATTTGTCCTTTTACGTGGGCTACAAATTATTGTATTTTCTATGAAATTTTACATACATGTGAAACAACATCTAGATGCATCCATACAGAAAAAACAATCTATTTTTTTAACTAAGGAATGACATTTTTGGTCTTTCTGAAATATCCATCTCCTTTTAGCCTGGTCTCATTGTTACTCTTCTTATGTGTACATCACTTATGACAGCCTTCAGCCTCCATCTAACTGAGGCTAAGCTATTATGTTTAAAGTTCTGAAAATGAGACCGCCTAAATGTTATGTTTTAGTCGATTTCATGATTTCATCCGAACAATTGAGTTGAAATCCAGCGCAGTTGTCTCTCTTCTTCATCCTCCAGACACACACTGGCAATGTTCGTCTTCTTCCTTCAAACACATGCTCTTCTTCACCCCGCCATACCCTCCTCTCGCCCTACCTCGCCTCCGGCGGAGGTTTTGTTCGAGTCCTCGCCGGTAGGCCATGGCGTCCCCGTCTCTAGTTCAATCTCGGTCCAATATATTGGTTGTCAAATCGAAAAGGCCTTCCTACCCACACCGATTAACCCTCGTCCCCGCCTCTGCCGGTGCCTTGGGGCTACCTTGCTACTATCCCAACCCTATTTTCAGGCGACTCATATAAATGTCACGGATTTGCTAATCTTCGTCTAGAGGAATTAACAAAGTGACATCTAACCTCTACACCTTGATTAATCAAACAAAAAGAAAGAAAACAAAAATCCATGTATCTCCGCGGAGTGCTAGTATAAGTTACGTGGAGTGCTAGTATGAGAGCTAGCTGCACCCTAAATGTCAACCGTTTGAAAATAAGCGCATGCATCCAACGGCGATAAAACCCAGTTTTACCAAAGGTAGCGGGAGCAGTAAATTAATCTGAAGCGTGCATTAAGTACTGGGCGTGTGTTGGGAAATAGCAAAACTGCTTGGTTGGTCACTCCGGCTTTACATTTGAATAATAGCGATTGCATGGCTCAATGCAGATTTGCAGAGCATGCATTGCATGCCATATCGCGGCATCACCAGTTCACAGATGGAGCAGTAATTCACAGGGAAGCCGCCGCCACTTGTCACGCACAGGCGCGGCGAAACCTCGCGGTGCATGCATGCCCCGGCCCCTCGAGCTCTAGCTCCTCCAGTCAACACCTCGCTCGTAGCTTCCTATTTAACGTATCCTCCCTCCCTCCCTCCCTCGCACATCGCAAAGAGCACACACCAAAGCCAGCAAGCAGCAGTTCGTGTTCCCACTAGCTAGGTACTACGTGCACGAAGAACCCTAGCTCGACCGATCAGGTTTAGCCAGCCAAAATGGACATGGGCTTCCCCGGCGCGGCGAACGGCGCTGCGGCGGCGGCCGCGGGGAACGGCGGCGGCGGCGGGCAGGCACCGGCGGTGCGCGAGCAGGACAGGTTGATGCCGATCGCGAACGTGATCCGCATCATGCGCCGCGTGCTGCCGCCGCACGCCAAGATCTCGGACGACGCCAAGGAGACGATCCAGGAGTGCGTGTCCGAGTACATCAGCTTCATCACGGGGGAGGCCAACGAGCGGTGCCAGCGCGAGCAGCGCAAGACCATCACCGCCGAGGACGTGCTCTGGGCCATGAGCCGCCTCGGCTTCGACGACTACGTCGAGCCCCTCAGCATCTACCTCCACCGCTTCCGCGAGTTCGAGGGCGAGGCGCGCGGCGCCGGCGCCGGCCACCATCACCACGGGATGCCGCCCATGATGCTCAAGCCCCGCGGGGCGCCGGGGCCCATGGTGCCGCACGGCGACATGCAGATGCATGCCGCCGGCATGTACGGCGGAGGAGCCATGCCCCCGCATCCGCACCATCCGTTCCACATGCCGCCGCACCACGGCCAGTACCCGCAGTACGAGATGTACGGCGGCGAGCATGGGATGGCCGCGTACTATGGAGGGCCCTACGCTCCCGGTAACGGCGGTAATAATGGCGACGGGAGTGGCAGCAGCGGCAATGGCCATGGCGGTGAAAGCACGCCGCCGGGGGGCAACTTCGAGCACCATCAGACGTTCGGGTACAAGTAGCGGCGACCTAACCCTGCGTATCTGCATGCACCGAAGGAACGCGTGCCGTAGCTAGCATCTAGCGGCTGATGCAGCCTGTTGAAACTACCTTAGGCGCATCTAGCTAGCCACTTTTATCCAGTTTGCACTTGCCACGTTCGCGTGGCGAGCATCCAGTTTCACTGTTCGTGTAGTTTCTTCCTAAGCTTAGTGCAGTGCACATTAGTGTGTAGTACGCGTCTTCTAAATTTAGCTGTGCTGCAGTCATCGCGATGGAGCACCATCGATCTATCTCCTCATCTTAGTTATGCAATCGAAGGGATCAAACCGTCATGCAAATTCAAAGACCTGTGTGTTATGCATTTTAACCACGTACGTCGTGTGCAGCCTCGCAGCTGGGGTTATTCTGAATGCATGCCTACTCAAGATTTGATGCTCGAAATCAAGTAAATTGGACTAACTTCCGCTAACCCAAAAACAAGAGTGGTCGTGGTGACCCTCAGATCCGGGTCTGGAGGTTTGTGCTTGTCGCGCTTGTCAGCGGTGGCACAGGTGGGCAGCGAGCAAAATCTTTGTGTCTTGGCGGGGACACTCATAGGTGTCGCTCTCCTCTTGTGGATGCCGTTGCGGTTCTACTCTCAGTTCTAGGGTCTGGGTGAAGCCCCTTGTCCGTTTCGGACTAGGCAGCCGCAATACTTAGCATCGGTTTCTTTCTTGGGCGTTGTTGTGAAGCTTAGATGTCTTAGGGCGTGGCGTGTGTTCTTTCTCGACAGTGTAGTCGTGGTGGGTTTTATGTTGTCGGGTCATTCTGGGATCTGCTTTGTAAAATAGTTTTCTAAATACTTTTGTATCATTTGGCCGTGTATTTTGATGTGTATTTTATGTATAAAGCATGGCGACAACTTGTTTCTTGAAAAGCAAAAGTGGCATGCACTGCCATACACGGGCAAAGTGTTGCCAAGTTGCTAGTTCGTGAAAGACACGGTTGTGTTTATTGTTTTCAACAATAAAAATCAAGTAGGACACATGACAATTTGGACGTGTTTGCTATTCTTCAGTCGTCTGGATCAGCCATAGGACAAATCAACATAGCTCTTGAGTGTGAGAAGGGGATGTTGCAAACGTCCGTAGCATCATCGATGAGCATGAGCCAGGACCTAGCCAGAGATGGAGATGTTTTAGGACCTGTTTGGTTCCAATAAGTCACCTGACTTATAAGTCAGGTGACTTAAAATCAGTGACTTATAAGTCACTCTTGTTTGGTTGTCATCTGACTTATAAGTCATCTGAGCACACTTTTTCACCTTGTTTTTTAATGTAAAGGTGATGGGACCCATGTAAAAGGGGTGACTTATAAGTTTTAAGTTAGAGTGAAGCAACTTATGACTTATAAGTTGGGGTGACTTATAAGTTGGGTCCGTTTGGCAAAATAAGTCACTTTTTACACTTTTCGACTTGTAAGTTGGTGACTTATTTGGAACCAAACAAGGCCTTAGCTCCCTGTTAGGTCAGCGGGGGAAGCTAGAAAGGAGATTGCCTAGTTTGGGTGCTGGGGGGAAGGGAGCTAGGGCATCATGCCAAATAGCATGGCGCCCTAGTCCGGGGCACGCCCCAGCCCCGGACGTCATCCAAAAGGGCCTGTTTCTGAAATATTTTCAGATTAGGGTCATTGTGTTGAAGTTTCGGAGAAGGGTCAGTTTCGTTCATTTTCATTTCATATAAACACGCACATACATCCTACCCCGATGAACACTGCTACTGAACCGGCCCTAAATTTGGACGGACCTGGCAGAGGAAACAACTGAGCAGTGAAGAGCCGTACTACGTAGAGGGTGCTGATGTACGTACACACCCATGACCGAGGTACGGTACTACTTACTCCTACGAACATGCGTACGGTATGGGCGTACATCTTTCACGTGTAGCAATCCGCTGGCGGGCGCGCGACAAGTGCGGGGCACGCGCAGGTTCCACCAGGTTAATATATCGGTTCTCGCTGGCGCTAGCGCTGGTGTTGCTGCCCCAGTGCATGCCCGCCTTGCTGCCGCTTCGGGAACCGCAGGCCCGCAGCCCGCCTAGTTCTGTGAGCTCTCTCTGCTCTCGCGACGTCCTTCCCTATGCACCAGCTACGGGCTAGCCTCGCTGACCAGTGACCATCCCCTCCCTCCCTGTCCCTCCACTGTACGCATGGCCGCGTGAGCTCACGCCTCAGTTATTTTCTTGTTTTTTTGCTGCCGCGCCCTGCGTACGTACGTGACGAAACACCCGGACCTGCAAAACCCCTGTAGCCATGCACCGCACTGTGCGGCGACGGCCCTCCGTGCGTACTGCGTACCACCTCGCTCCGACGCTTCCATTCACCCGTCTACTCCAGCAGTAGTACCCTGGTACTGGTACAAGCTTCCAACGAAACGAGCATATGTGCTTTTTGAGAGAATTTTTTTTGGATTTCTGAGAGAAAAATCATTGGATTTTTGAGAGAAAACTTATGAATGATTAAACTGATTGCCTATTGGGTTTCTAGCTGGTCAATTCTACAGATAAAGGAGAAAATCGAAGGCTGCTGATGCTGGTTTAAGACTGTTGAGCCGATAGCAAGTGAAGTTTATCGCCCATCGCAGGGGTGCAGGCACGACGTTTTGCGGACTGGTGGCTAAAATCTTCAGGGCTGACGCTCTGCTAGTGTTGGTTTCTACGAAAGTGTCTGGACCACCTTCATCTACCTTTATTTTTCTTCTCCTTGCTTTACTAGTTATGCTAGTTATTGTTCATATTTGATGTAATTCGGAGTTTAAACTTAGTCTGGAGTCTACGGTTGGCTGGTGATGTGGTTATGATCGTGGACAACATTCCTTGTTGTAGGTTAACTTTGCTTTTGGCTTATGTCTGCTGGAGATCCATCATGATCTTGAGCTCTTTGTAAGCTACATGCTTGCTAACGGTTTGTATTAGGCATGAACCAAATGGCTACAATAATAGAAATCAACCCCGTACCTACCATCAATAAAGAACTTTGCATATTACACAATGGTGACAATCTTCACTGCATGCTATCATATAGAAGGGGACAACTGGTACTAGGATTGGAACTACAATGTGTAGAATCAACCCCGTACCTACCATCACCCGCATACACAAACTGCACAACAATGAAGATGACACTGATCTACAACGAAATCAAACTGATGTTTCATGAAATGGAACTCATCTAGAATGGAATTGAACTGTTGTACTACCAGAACCAGTCTACCACGAAAGCTAACTAATCTACCATGAAATCTAACTGATCTACCACGAAATCAAACTGGTCTACCAGGAAATCTAACTGATCTACCATGAAATCAAATGGACGTACAGCCGAATCGATCTGATCTTCCCTAAATCAAAACCTACATTAAAGCCTAAATGCACACCCAAATTGATAGCCATATATATCGAGCCCTATCAAACAATAAATCGATGCCTATATCGATCCCTAAATCGACCAGAGAAGAGCTTACCGCCATTGACGTAGGGTTGGCGAAGGGGTGTTGAAGCCAGTGATCGTTGTCTATATTTCCCGCCGTCGGTGTTCGTCATCGAGATCTTTTTGCCACTGATGCTTGCCGCGCTGCCGGTGAGAGAGGGTGACAACGCGAAGGAGGGAGAGTAAGGGGTGAGGAGATTTATGGCGTCGCTTTGGAAAACAACACGATGTCTCATGTGAGTCTCCACGTGTGCATCCGCGTGCCTGCTCGGGCCTGGCTCGTTGGAAATGGTCAATTCAGCCATTCCTTCACAGTCAGTCTTTGAGTTGCTTTGAGTATCCTGATATTCACGCCCAATCGCACGCTCAGGTAACCAGACGGCCTAAAGTTGCATCCCCCAGGGCTGGCTTGATGTTATGGAGGATAACAGACATACCCAATCACCCATAGTCTGGAGAAGCTCCTATAGGACGCATGCGGGCGTCCAATGGACAAGTGTTCGCACAGGCACAAAAAATTGGGTCGGCCCAACACTGTTGCGATTGAAGGTACTGTGGCGACCCAACACTATAGAATCTCGTTTACTATAGCGAACCCAATTTTTGGTTGGTTTTTATTTCGATTTTTTTGAAATATGATTTTTTGTAAAACATGAACAAATTTTGGAATTTCTTTTTTTTAATACAATTTACTTTATGTAATATACGTTGAAGAATTTTTAAATACACTTTAAACATTTTTGTAATATGCGTTGAACATTTTTATAATGCATCGTGGACTTTTTGTAATATACGGTGAATATTTTTAAAATATAGTGAACATTTTCATAAAAATACCCTCAAACAATTTTCAAATACACATTGAATATTTTTTAATATATGATGAACATTTTTTAAACATATGATGCACTTTTTTTAATATATGATGAACATTTTTGTAATGCATGGTGAATTTTTTCAATATACGATGTGCAATTTCTTAATATGCGATGAATATTTTTGTAATACACGATGAACTTTTTCATATAATACACAAAAATGAAAATAAAAAATTTGAAAGAAAACCCATACCTAGAAAAATAGAAAAGATAGAAACAATAAAAACCAGAAACAAAACCCCCAAAAATAATAGAAAAAATGATCAGAAAAAACATAATAATAGCGAATGAAACAACCGTATGAGAAAACAAGGAACTGGGTCGGCCCATGGCACCTCGCTCCGGGGGGCGCAGGTGGCGTATAGGATTGGCCCATAGTCTGCAAATGGTTTCGTTTCAGAACTCAATGGGGGTCGGCGGGGGGTGGTGGAGATCCGGAAATCACTAATTGAGGAGATCTCCTTCCAAAGAACACTTCCACCTCCTCGGACTGCGACAAGTGGCGTGTTGTATGTGCGTCATTTGTCACGACCTGTGAGTTTTCCCCTTTATATAGATCCGTTTATTCAAAACAATTTATCTCTTAAACCGTGCGGCCAAATCTTGAACCATTTTCACCATTGAATTCCTTACGTCAAGATCTTCAAAACTAGATCCCGTGTTGATAGGTTTTAAAG